GGATATTGATATCTTGATATTTCAGCATTCTCATAAAAGCTTTTTTTCTTTAGTGGGGCACACAAGTGGAATATTTATGAATGCTCTTTATAGTGTTTACATGATCCCTTGATATTAAAGTAGCATTACTGAAGTAGTTGTTACCTCCTTCTGCTTAACAAAAACAGAAGATTAAAACAGATCGTTTAGTCATATATGGAAAAGAAAGATTCCCATGTCAGATGTTTTATTTTTCAACTTTTTAGAAGTTGCACCTGCTAAAATAGAGTGGTGTGTTGCAGGATGCTTTATATTGCATAAATATAGCAGGAACTGTTTTTGCCATTAGGGGTGGATTATTGTAAGAGTAGTTTCCTGATGACTTCATAGCAAATTCCAGCTGCCCAAACAGTTATTTTCCAGAAGAGGTTATCTGTAGTGCACTTGCACAAAATTACACTTAAAAGGGCACTCATAGTTCCCTTGGGACTTACAAACCAAACCTTTTGTCAAATCCTTAGTAAACACAGAATTCTTTGTTTTCATTCTGTGGCAGTGGTAACAGTATGGGCACTACTGTAATTTGTGATTCTGGATTAAACAAATAATAATTACATTATGCAGGGCAAGAGAAATGGAAGTCTGCAGTGCAAGCTTCCTGTCATGAAGGGATAGATAGCACAATGGTTCTCAAATGTTTTTTTCTAGAGAATTTTTAGGCTGGTGATATAAAGATAAGGGCATACAGTTGCAGTACACTGCCTGAAATGGTACTCCTCGCTGTCCAGTGGAGCTTTTTGAAGGCATGAGTAGCCACAGAGCAGGAGAGGATGCTGGTTGAGAAGTTGGCCTAAGGGAGTAGAGATTCATTTTTGTATGGGATGTTAATATATATAGAAGTATATGTCTTTCCTAGAGTAAATCTGGATTGATTACTGTTGTTTGGGGTTTTTTGGTTTTTAAACGGTAGCCTAATTGCTTGGACAAGCTCTTTAGATAATGTCTTGAAGGCTGCATTAAAAATTATCATGCCTAGTCACCCAATTCAAAGGGTCTTTCCCAGACTTAAGAAGCCATAATTAACATGGAGTCAAACATTTCTGCCAATTGCTTTTTTAAAAATACATATTAATATATATTTAATGAAGAATACATGATCCTATCATTGACTCTTCAATAAATCTTGTAGCAGGAAAATCAAATCTTGGAGTTTTTCCAGTTTGTTGGACCCTAAGAACATCAAATAACTATTCTCTGCCAATTTCTTTCTAGCAAATTACAGTATTCTGCAGGGATTTCAAATAACATGTTGTTCCAAGGATCATTTAATTTTAACAATGATCTTTATTAGCTGTATTACTCTATATATGTTGAAAATGTCATGCAGTTTTTAATGAACTTTCACAACATGTCTGTGAATTGAATAGCTTACCATCATCACGCTCACTTTGGGAAGGAGAGTGGCAGCAGTGGGGGAAGTTGGCAGATTAACTGTTTGTAGAATTCAAGATCTTCCATCTCACTGCTCTGGTCATTGATTTCTCCTACACTCACTGATTATCTGCTTCTAGTTATCCACATGTGTAAGAGCCTGCCAAGTCAAGATCTATGATGCAAATCTTGTAAAAACTAATTCATTGATTTCTTTCATTCTTTTATTGTTCTCAATGTTCACATGTAGGACAAACCCCCCCTTTTTTTCAGCCATTTTCTCTTTCCATGACACTCTCATCTACTTACTGGTGTTGCTTTGCTCTCCCATTGAATTCATTGAAGGTTTGTGTTAGGTGCAGTTAGCTTCCATCCTTGTTGGTCCCACAAAGTCTTGCAGGAATGATCTTCATTACCGTTCAGCATATAGATCCAACATATATCCAATGTGACCATCTTCTCTGTGGAGTAATCTTCAGGTTCATGACTTCTCAGACCTCTTTAATGACAATGAAGCCTTTCCAGTCCCTGTAAACTGTCCCACCAAGGCTAACACTAGTTTGGGTCAGTGGTTGCTTGTCCTGAGCATTTGACAAAGCCATAGATTTCTCATTAGCTTTTTAGCATTTTAAATGAGTGGGTGAGGTGTCTTTACTGGAATGATTTTATCTGTCTCAGAAAGTCAGGTGGACCTGATGAAAATGAATGATCTGACTCCTGTATCTGTAGGGGGACAAGTGTTGTGCCAGGCCTGCTTCTCATTCCTACACAGTGCTGGAGATTTCAGAGGTTTATGGATTTTTATGTAAGATTGGTACCTCACCACTAGGATTCCTGGACTCTTAGCTTTTCTATATTCCTCATTTTGAGGATGTTATTTTGATCCATGTTCAGGAGAAGATTCCTTCTTCTCTGGAGAAAGTTTTGAAGTAATGGAAGCACATAAAAAAAATAGTTTTGTTTGCTGACAATAAGTCAATTTGATCCCAGACAATCTGTAATGAAAATACTTTTCTTCTCGCTAATCCAATGTTACAGTAATTACAAGGAACAGATCAATAGCGGGAAGTATAGAATCAGAAGTGTTACTTCAGATATTAAGCCACAAATTGATCTCCCTGTCAAACCTTAAGTAAGTGCTGTATCAACACATATTTCAAAGATTGGAGGACGTTCTGAAATGTAGTAGTGATGAACTGAAGAAAGGAGAACAATAATTTGTTTTATGCAAGAGTATTAACTCTTTTTCAGCCTGAATCTACACAATCCTGCTATTATCTCATTATGTTTTGCACTCACACGTTACATGAGTGATTTCTGACTATTGCTCCACTTGGCTCCAATAACATACGGGATTATCTCTGGATAATAACGATCCTCGCTTGAATTAGAAGGAACCACCAGTTCCTTCCTTCGTGTGCACCACCTTGCACACGATCCAACACAAGTCTTGTGCAACTGTCAAAGTATTCCAGCATTTATATGATGGATATTCTAATCCAAGTCAGTTATTGACCAAAATAATTCTTTCTTAGGAAAATAAAGACAACACCAGAAGACCTTCATAACACATAAGATTCTTGAATTTCCTTAGACAACTGATGACTGTTGCAACTCAGTGTACTAACTAAATCATACTGACCTGCTCTAAAGAAAGGAGAGGAAAAAAATCTGAAAAATTCTAGAATTCTTTGGAAAAAGAAACAAGTAATAGAAATTTATGGGTTGTAGTTTTTCTTCCAAAAACTAAGACGCATAGTATTGTTGAGATCACTTTTCCCTCTTAATGGGCAGAAGTATGAAAGTTGTTCTTATACTATTATGGGCACGCTGAGGCTTTAGAAGCTGCAAATGTCACTGCTTAATTCACTTTATGGTTTTTCTTTTATAAGCCTTTAAGAAAGATTGAAAGAAGTAATGTGTCTCTGAAGAATTGGTTCCTGAATATGTTTTTTTAAGCATTAAACATTGTTGTGGCTCAGATGTAGCACATTTGAGAAGTCAGCTTCTTCTCTAGGAATGCTTGCCAGGTACATGCAGTGATCTGGGAAAAATAATTTTTCCTTTCTGTGGGTTGCCTCTCCCCTGATAAGCATATGGAAGGAGCACTTAGGAGTGAGGTTTTGGTTCCTCTCTTCCTAATGCTAGGAGATCCTGTGGGGAGAGGTTTGATGGATTGTTAATTTTTTGTTGTTGTTCTTCTTCAGGTAAGGGCTGCTATTTTTTCTGACAGTACTAAGTCCTTTGAATTGTTTTTGCTAGTGCAGAGATGAAGACTTTTGACTGGAAGTGAGTAGTCGGAGCAAGAAGTCTCTTTGGTGTAAACCTCTTTCACCTACTAACCGGTCAGTCCTCTTGAGTAGAGATGACTAGCTGAGCAGTCAGAACTTCTTCTATTTTTCCTAACGGAAGTCACTTCTGTGTTTAACTGTTTATTAGTATGAGGGGGAATAAAGGTGGTAATTCTCAGGTCTTGGCCACCACTGAAGCCTTGTCAGCCAGTTATGATTAGCTTGATTATTTAATTACTTTTCCAGCACTAAGAATAAGTATTACTTCACAGTGGAGAACAGGGAAAAACTGCAGGTGTCCCTTCAGCAGAGTGAGAAGGCTTTTCTCTAGTCTAGCCTTCTGTTGTTACAGCAATGTTTCCAGCTGTGATACTTCCTTGCTGCCAAGTCATAGTAAATAGCTGTATAAATCATAGTAATGCTTGTACCATTCGGGTACAGCCGATTGCTTTTTGACTCTAACGGGTGTACATATGCTTATTCTCATATTTCAAAGTTAATTGTTAATATTTCTGGAAAAGGAATAGCTTTGTGAATTGAAGAATGGACATTTTTGGAGTGCTTCATCTTCAAACTTTGGATTTCATTCCTCACTTGAAGCATACACAGTTTTGTTTAAATTGTATTTTAATTTTATTTTCTCCAAGACTCTCTTCAGAACTAGAAGTCAGTAGCCATGGCCTGCCTGACCCAGGGGGCAGTCAGTAACAGTGCAGGTACGTTTAATTTAGGACAGCAAATACAGACTGCTGCTGTCCATGCTACCTACAGGCAGAGCTCAGAACACTGGAGAGAAGTGGTGATGTGTCTTGGTGCTGGCACTTGCAGCCTGGACCCCAGCAGAGTTTTGCTGAGTGTTGTTCGCATTTCTCAAGAGGGGATGGGTAGGTAGGAGGCCCGTGTGGATAGGAAGTTCATTGCCACGGGAGAAGGGTGAATGGAGTAGTGAAGACTGGAAAGGACTAGTGTCCTGACTTGTTTGTACTTGACTGCCTTCTTTGTACAGAGCCATAGGTATGCCTGGCTTTTTGTATAACTGCAAACGATAGTTCGCTGAAGAAACTTACACTCAAAGCTGAATGAGATGTGGGACTAGGATAGCTCTTGAAGGTGAAGAAAAGGAAGAATATATGTTACGTGATGCATTGCTTTGGGTTCTTTCTGATTAGAGAAACCTGTATCTCCATAGGCACTTGCTGTCTTGCAGTGGAAGTCAAAATAGATTTTGCTACAGGGAAAATAGTAAATACGGGGAAAAAATCAGACTGCTTGTTATCCTTTTGTTCAAAGCATATTGAGATGGACCTGAAGTGGAATCCTGGCAGAGTTTCTCATCCGGCCTCAGCTGCAGTCCGGGTGACTGATTTGAGTTGGCGAGGCAACCTAAATCCCAGTCCGCTGATTAAAGATGACGGAGAGCTACTTATGGATGAATACCTTTCCCCCAGGAAACTGGTGAGTAGACATCCAACTTTTTAATGAAGTAGAAGAGGCAAACTGGCATATACAGAGCTGTATTAACTTAACCTTCTAGCTGCTTTTGTGATGATTGCAGATTGTTGCATATCTGACAGTTAGACTTCTGCATAAAGTAGATTCTCTTATGGAAATTTATCAAATGTTTGTCCTCCTTTCACCTTGTTTCATATCAAAAATATTCCCAGCATGAATGCTGCTGTCTTTATTGTCAGCTTTCTTGAAGCAGCGTGAAGAAAAGTACGAGTAGCATAATTATAATTTAAACAGATCTCATTAATGCCATCTGAAGTACCTTGAATCTTAGCATTAGAAAAAGCTTTTTAGATTAACCTTGTTCTAGAGATTGGAAATGTAACTTTAAAAGCACAACTTTTTTCTGAATTAGTGAAATCCTCTGTCGTGCTAAGAAGCCAATTAAAATATTCTGCAAGTGCTATAAGTACTTTCTATATATATCAAAGTGTGTGAAATTTCAAAGCACATTTGAAAGCCATGTTCCTTTTTGACCAGGGAAAATGATTTTGGCATGCAGCCTATTGAAAGAGAGTAACATGCTTACTCTCAGAAATTTCTCGTGAAGGAATACTTGGTTGCATATTGTGTTGTATTTGCTCAGGCCTAATTAAGGGTGAAATCTTCTGGGACGTGTAGGAGCTGAGGAAATAACCTCACTTACCCCTGCTAAAGGAACGGAGAGCTGAGAGCAGAAGTAAAGGGGAGAAGCTGCAGCTTTCTGTGTTGCAGAGCTGGATAGAAATTAGTGAAAGACAGATGGGGCCAAGGCTGTGGTTCGGATGCTCCCAGCAGGCAGGGTGGTGATCGCGTTGTCCGTAATCCTCTGTGCATCCACTGTACTGGTAGAGAGGCACTAGCTTCTGCAGGGGGCATATTCCATCTGCAGGTTTACGCCACTCCCTAAGTATATACCAATAACAATTTCAACCGTGCACTGTAGATTAGACAGCAAGTTGTTCTCAGGACTACTCTTCCCTTAATAGCTAAGTCTTTTAGTGTTTATAAAATCTCTGGAGATGCAAAAAATCACTTTCTGCGGAGTGTATATTTTAAGCTTTCTGGAGAAAAATTGATATATGAACTTATGATCTATGCCATTCACTTCCCTTTGGCTCATGTGAACCTCTGACAACTTCTTGGACTTTTTTTAAAATCTGCCATAGAGTTTGACCAGTCTAATGTGTTTGTGGCCTACAATACCCTGTATAAATCCAATGGGAAGTTCTCAGATTAGTCTGTTTTCTTAGGGCATGAACCAAAGCCCATTAGACTAACCAAAACAACTGCCCTCTGACTTCAATAAACTCTGAATTAAACCCTTAGGAAGTTCTTTTGTTGGCATGAAATTCTTCTCTTTCTGAAGCTCTGCTGCTTTTAGTTCACAGTAAATTGTAAGCAGAAAAGTGTATTGTAAGGCAATGTTACCCACATCCCATTATGTTGCAGTTCATTATTTTGTAATATTTTTTTAAATACAGATCAGAAGTTAAATTCTCCCACAATTCTAGGCTATTTTTAAAAATGGGAAAAAAACCTTTATTATTCATATGTACCCACTTGAACTTAATCGAGTCTTGCCTCTTTAAGATTGTGTGTTTTAGCGTTTGTAAGGAATTCCATTTCAAAGACTCTTTTAAATGGATGCATACTGTCCTACTAATTTTTCTGGACACAGTTATTTCCTGGCCCTGGAACCCAACATTTGTGTTGGCATAGCTGGGATACTTCCTGCTCAGAGGAAAAATTATATGACATTGTCAAGGAAACATTAACAATGTTTATAGCTTGTTTTAATAACATATCCAATCTATCTATTCTTTGACCTTTATGTTGATCAAATGGAAACTGCTGCTTCCATAAATTTACTTCCTCTGGATTTGCAAATGTAAAAATAGAGACACTGTTCAAACATTTAATCTGAATCAAGTTTTTACATGCATATTTTTTTAAGGAACCACATGCCATTGATAACCAAATGGTTTGAAAGGTTGTTTTGCTTAAATCAATACACTTGAATATCTTCTTGATTGTCTTTTAGTTGTGAATATTTTAGGAGTTACTATTGTATTCGCTGAAGTGCTCTGGGAAGGAAACAGATTTTTAAAATACATGCTCATTGAAGTAAAATTATTTTACATTCAAATAAGGACATAGGCCCCAGTTCTGCAGTGTTGCGTAGGCAGATTTCTGGACACCTGATGGAGGTTCCTGAGGAAGGTTTTTGTTCTGAGATACATACTCAGCTTTACTCCTTGCACTTGCAATGTTCTGTCTTGCACCAGTTCGGTTTGAGCTCGGGGAGGCTGGAGGGTCTAGCTGTGCAGAATCTGTGAAGATTGGGCGCCTTGGATTGCAGCCTGAGGCCTTGTCTCTACCTGCACATTTTACTAATTTTGTGTCATGGTTTAACCTTAGTCAGCAACTGAGCACCACACAGCCACTCACTCACTCTCCCTGCCCCAGTGGGATGGGGGAGAGAATTGGAAGAGTAAAAGTGAGAAAACTCGTGGGTTCAGATAAAAACAGTTTAATAATTGAAATAAAATAAAATCCTAATAATAATAGTAATAATAATAATAAGAATACACAAAGCAAGTGATGCACAATGCAATTGCTCACCACCTGTCGACCAATGTCCAGCCAGTCCCTGAGCAGCAGCCCCCCGGCCAGCCTTCCCCCAGTTTATATACTGAGCATGACATCATATGGTGTGGAATATCCCTTTGGCCAGTTTGGGTCAGCTGTCCTGGCTGTGCCCCCTCCCAGCTTCTTGTGCACCTCCAGCCTTCTCAGTCGGTAGAGCATGGGAAGCTGAAAAGTCCTTGACTAGTGTAAGCACTGCTTAGCAACAACTAAAACATTGGTGTGTTATCAACATTATTCTCATATGAAGTCCAAACACAGCACTCTACCAGCTAGTAGGAAGAAAATTAACTCTATACCAGCTGAAACCAGGACATTTAGTCCTTTTTCCAGGGGGATAGCAGTCTATTTAGTAGTGTAAACATTAGGAGTCTACATTAGCAGTCCTCATTATTAAGGACTGTCTAAAAGGTGTGATACTTGTATTCCTTCACTTTTTTCCCAGTTGCCAGGTTGTTTTCCTCCAAAGAGAAGAAAGTTTGACTAAACTGATTCTTCTTTTTTTTTTTTTTTTTTTTTTTTTTTTTCCTTTTTGCCTTCTGGGACCCTGTAGCACATAAGACAACTTCTACAAAACCATTGGTCCCTTGCCCGTTCTCTTCCTCTCCATAGCAGATCCTCATCTCACCTCACTTAAATCTTATGCTCGTTCACTACAGGGTTTGTGGTCTTCTGTGGCCTTGTTTCAGCATAATGTTCACTTTGAAATCCTGTGTGATTCCATATCCCCATTATGTTAATCACATCTTCTGTAGTTTCTGCTTGCTGCCACTTCTCTTGCTGCGATGTCGTGTAATGCCCTTTTATATTTGCTAGTCTACAGGTCAAAAGCTTTTGATGCAAGGGTTGGTATCATTAGATGTTCTTTTTATTCTTTCTGCTATCTGTATCAATGTCAGTTTTCTGTTGTACTATTTAATCTTCATCTATATGAATAGGCGTTTTTGCTTTTCCATTTGTACCTGTCCTATTAATATTTCCAGCTCCCTGCTCTGCCTGTGCTTGTGTTGTGTTTACGTGTTGTTGTTGGATGTTGTAGAATACCAGGGTGAGCAAATTCTCCATTCTCCCTTTGTTCTGAAAACTGGCTATTAATGAGCAATACATTGCAATTCATTTTTAACTTTATTAGGGCTGTGGCACAGATTTCTCATTAAGTGTGTAGGAACTGAAATGAAGGGCTTCACCTGTGTTGAATCAGATTTTTGTGTTGTTCTATTAACCGCCACCCTCTCCCTGCCGTTTGCAAAGGGTCTTTTCCTGACTTCCACAAAAGCATTCCACTTCTGAGAATAAACTCATTTTACAAGGTCAAATGTCTTCCAGATATTGTCACGTTATCAAAACTAATCATGTTTGTGCATGATCTTTAGAGAAGGAAGTATTCTTCTTATTTAGCTATTTACTGATCCTGCTCCAATTAATCATGTTTTCTAAACTTAGGAACATGTGTTCGGAAGTGGTGTTTAGTTTTGTTGCTCAGGAGGTTAGGGTGTATTTCATATGGTATGCACTCATCCTCATGGGGAGAAGAAAATCCTGGAGGGTCCTGGAACAACAGACTGGATTCTTGCTGAAATGACTCCATCATTTCCTTTTTTCCTTGGTAGAAAGTTTTCTTCTCAGTTGTAAGCTAAATGAATTTGAGAAAAAAACTGGAGATCAAGGAAGCAAGTGCAAAATCTTGGTAAATTAAGTGGAGTCAAGGAGATGGAAGTAACTGACTGAATTTGGATCTGCTGAATCCTTCATTAGAATTGTATAATCATTTAAAAATAATAATTAAATAGAAGGTTTGAAGTGACCTCTGGAGGTCTTCCAGTTCAATCTGCTGCTCAAAGCACAGCTAGTTTCAAAGTTAAATCAGATTGCTCAAGGTAACAGATAGTAGTAAATATAATACTGTGAACAGGAAAAAAATTACAAAGCGTCATTTAGTTTCAGAGCTTTTCTTTTATATGTTCTTATCCTAACACTAATGCCTTTACTACAGTGAAGGCTTGTAGTTGTTATATTAGTGTTCATCTTGCTACCTAGGCATCTGATGATTTTTACATTCAAATTGTAACATTAGGAAGCTTTGTATTTATATGCATACACACACATATGTTTGCCTTTATATGAAAAAACCAGATTTTCATTTGCATACAGTCACAGCTGCTTAGCTAACATAAAATGGCAGATTACAGTCTTGAGTTTGCATATTCAGTGACACAACATTGAGAAATGATTGTAGCTACTTATTATGCACCTAATTGCTAGATAGGAAAAAGAATTAATATTGAGGTATGACTTTTTTATATCTATGTGAGGGAAAG